TGAAACTTGAGGCTTGGTCACTGGTTCTTTCAACTTGAGATATGCCGAGTGTTCTGCTTTTCTATCTCAAGTCTTGGAACATTTCATTATACTATTTTGTCTTCCCTTTTTGAGCTGCTCTTTGAAATTTTGTGCTCAGTTGTTTTATGCCATATTCTCTATTTACTTTGGCTACTCTACATAGAAGATTAAATTTCAGAGCCTTTTCTGACATCCATTTTGGTCTTCTTGTTTTCTTCATATATGATGTTCTTGATGCCATCTCACGACTTCTCTGGATGTTGGTCACTAGTATTCAGTGCATCAAATCTGTTCTTGAAATGGTCGCTAGGTTCAAGTGGGATACACGCAAGGCTGTATTTTGGCTCTCATGGACTTTACTTTTCTTCAGTGCCTATGTAATGACAAAGCTACTGCCCCATGATGTGATCTAATAGGATCAGCCTGTCAGTTTTAAAGAGATTAGGGTGGAATTCAGGTCACAGCTCTGATCTGATGTATGGGGAGTTTCCCTGGAGTGTGGCCTGCAGCCCTTTTTATCATACTAAAGATAAAGGGGGAGAGAAAAGGAAGGAATTGACTTCTACCAAGGGCTAGTTGCTGGGTTGCTTCCTGCAAGGTTGGTGCAAACCCACTATTTGCTTTGCAGGAGAAAGATGAGTCAGCTTCCATAAAAATGTACAGTCTGGGAAACTGCTATGAGTCAGAATCAACTAGATAGAAGTGTTTTTTGGTTTGGGTACTACTCCTTAGAAAGAACAGCCAGGAGCAGTGCCTCCTTTGGACCCAAGACTCAAGGGAAGGTTGATACCAAGAAACACGGCGTGCTGGACCCAAATATATTCCCCGAGTCAACACAGTGAGAAAGCCTTCTCCTAGAGCTGCCACTCTGGTTTTGAACTGCCCTCTGAACCCATGAAAGAAATAATGTTTTTAAATTTTTATTTATTTATTTTTTAGAATCTGTTGGGTTTTTTTAAAGCCACCCACTTGTGGAATTTCTGGTAGAGCAGCACTAGATAACAAAGACAAGTGTAGAGACTACTTTATATTAAGGGAATGATGCCCTTTGATGCAAGTCATCCAGAAGCAAACGTGATATCATTATTCCGTTAGGATTAATACTCCCTTTTCTGCCAGTTTGTCATACAGAGGTAGTGTGCTTACATGTTGCTGAGGCTGGAAGCTATTCCATCAGTGTTACAAATACCAGCAAGGTCAGCCAGGATGAGCATGTTTCAATGGAGCTTCCAAACTAAGAGCCACTAGGAAGAACCTAGTAACTTGCTTCTACAAAACCGACCAGTGCAAACCTTCTGAACAGCAGGGGCACTGAGCGACAACAGTGCCAGATAAGCCCTCAGGTTGGAAGGCACTCAAAGTACAATGGGGGAGAGCTACCTCCTCAAAGTAGTCACATTTTAGGATTTCCCGAAGACTACAATTTTGGGACCTTCATCTGCTAAGGTGGTCTGACTCAAAAAGATATTAACTGTAGACATCCATTTAGTAATCAGAATGCAAAATTTACAAAGTATGAATCTAGGAAAATTGGATGTTGTCCAAAATGAAATGCAACACACAAAGATCAACACCCTAGGTTTTCAAACACAGACTCACTGCTGTCTAGTTGCTTCCAATCACAGCAACCCTACAGGGCAGGATAGAATGGTCCCTGTGATTTTCTGAGGCTGTAACTCTTCACGGGAGTAGAAAGTCTCGTCTTTCTCCCTTGGAGTAGCTGGTGGTTTCAACTGTTGACCTTGCAGTTAGCAGCCGAACCCATAACCACTACCCCAACCAGGGCCATTACAGGGCTATTAGCCATTACAAATCAGACAATATGGTCTACCTGGAAAAGACAAGCTGAAGAGGATTAGCATTACATTCATGATCAAAAAGGACATTTCTAAGGCTAGGGGGTGGAGATAACGTGTGCCCCCCTAGCCCCCATAGGGAGGGAAGAAGGGGGGATCTTTTTTTTTACGTTGACTTTTGTTTTCTACTTTGTTTCCCCTTTCTCCTACATTTGGGACTCCTGGGGTTTCGACAGTCATCTCCCCATTTGGTCCCCTTGGACTGTCTTTCTCCTTGTCTGTTGATTCTAACTTGTAAATAAAGAAAATATTGTTCAAAAAAAAAAAAAAGGACATTTCAAGATCAAATGATAAAACAATATTTACACAACTACCAAAGACTAATTAATCTGACTCGTATTCAGATTCAAGCCCCAACCATGAATGTCAGTTATTTAGAGATTTTTATCAACGTCTACAATCTGCAATTAATCAAAATATGCAATGAAGATACACAGAAAATTTACTTAGCAGCTCCTGAACTACTAAACAAATGTGAAATTTCGTAAAGGCACACATTTTCCACTAGTGTTTACTGTCATTAATGTTTCAGAAAAGAAAGTCTGAAAAGGAGGTAGGGTATAGAAGGAAGGAGGGCACATCTACCCTGACTAAGTGGAGAACTACGAAGGACTCCCTGGCCTGACCACACTGTCCACACCTTGCTCAGCAGTGAAATAGAAGTAAAGATACTGGTGGTGTGGTGAAGAGTCCCAGTGGAGTAGTGGCTAAGTTGGGCTGCTAACTGCAAGGTCCGCAGTTAAAACCCATCAGCTACTCAACAGATGAGGATTTCTGTTCCTGTAAAGATTTATAGTCTTCCCAAAGGGGGAGCTCTACTCGGCTCTATAGGGTCCGTATGAGTTGGCATTGACTCGATGGCAATGGGTTTGGTTATTAGTGGCGCAGTGGTTAAGCACTGAGCTGCTAAACAAAAAGTCGGTGGTTCAAAAACACCAACAGGGAAGATAAGGCATTTTGCTTTCATAAAGATTACACTCAAAAAAAAAGATACACTCTTGGAAACCCTGAAGGGCAACTCTCTCCTCAGAGACTGCTGTGAGTTAAAATGAGTAGACAGAAATGGGTTTCGTTGGTTGGGAGATGGAAATGCCTTCACTGGAAGGGAGCAGCCTGACTCACCCACGTTTTGGAGAGCAGTCCAACACTCTTGACCCCTGCCACTTGGTTTGTGGGGACACTAGACTCAAACTGACTGGGTTAATAAGTGCCCTTCCTGGAGATTCTGAAATAAGAAGCTCAGAGGCAGGCTAGATTCTTTTGGGAGCTATAGAAAAGCTATTGCTTCTTTCTCAAGGATCTCAGCTCGAGCAAGGCAGCTCCTGTGGCCTCAGTGCCCAGGCAGGAATCACAATGAGGTGGGTCTCTCACACAAGTGAGAGATAAGACCTTACCTAGTGAGACTAGGAGCCCACGGGTCTCTAACATCACCTTCCAATACAGGATCCTCTGAGCTAGGTTCAGCTGGGCCCACTCATCCTTTGTGAAGGTCACAGCCACATCCTTGAAGGTCAGTGACACCTGAAAAGTCAAGAATTGCCTTGGGATTGTCTGATGTGATTAGAAGTGGTTACTCGCCACTGGTAAAGGTGCAGAGAATGATGGCCCCGATCAGAGAGCCACACGTCCTCTGCCCACCCAGGCCCAAGGGTCTGTGCTGGTGCAATGGTGTGGTAGCCATTGTCTTTGGACACCATGTAATTGTGGCTGGCAGGAAAGTCTTCAGTGGGAGAGAGAGGTCTTTCTGAAAGACATAAGAGGCATCCCAAATGGACTGGGCACAGAATAGTGCTCTGAGACATCAGACACAAACGGGAAATGATAGCAAGTCCAACAACCGACAACAGAAACAGCTTAATCTCACTGGTCCTCACTGTGCACCAGTCCTACGCTGAAGTTATCTACAACTTAAAGAGCCAAGGAGCTTGGGTGGCACAATGGTTAAGGTCAGGAGTTCAAACCTAACAGTGGCTCTAGGGTAGAAAACACCAGGCAATACGCTTCTATAAGGGTTACAGGCTAGCAAGTCTTATGGGAAGGCTTTATGAGGGTCCCCCCCCCAAATACATGTAAAGTGAAATGAAAAGATAATGTTTCCATTAACTTTTTGAAGGTCCCTGATATTCTGTCATATAAACTTGCTAGGAGCCATTTCTATGCATTTTGCTGCTAACCAGGAGAGGTGGTTTGAACCAGGGAGTCTTTATACCCCTGTAAAGATTTTTATATCTCAGAAACCCACAGGGCAGTTCTACTTTGTCCCAACCAGTCACTATGAGTCAGAATCGACTGAACGGCAGTGAATTTTTGCTTTTCCTTTGAATGTAATCTTTCTGTTAGCAGATCGCCTCGAGAGAGACACTGGGCGGGTCAAACGTCCAACGTTTCGGTTAGCAGCCTAGTGCTAACTGTTGGGCTAGCAAGCCTCCTCCATCATTTGCCTTGGAGTCTCGACTACGACTCAGGCCGACCCCACGGGTCAGGGTCGACTTGTGTTCGGTCGTGCTAGGATTTGTATAGAAGCGACGATTCCGAAAGCTCAAACTCACGTCAGCCGGGATTTTCCAGAAGTGACTTTTCCAACAGTTATGCCACCCAAACCCACCCCACCTGGTTCACCTTCCCGCTTCACTTCCTAAGGTTATGCTTTTGTTTTTGGCCCATGGGGACCCGCCAAGAACCCCTGTGCTTGCAGCTTTTCTCGCCACAGGCTCATAAACGGGAGAACTTGTCATTCTCCCCGGTGAGGCAGCCCGGCAGGTCTTCTCCCCTAACAGAGCCTGCAAACCCGGTCTTGCTGCGGAGTGGTCTTTCAGAGTGCTTCCATCGGCCGGCGGGGGAGGCCAGTAGCTCTCCAGACATTTCTTCCGCTACTCCACGGAGTAGCGTGCGCCGCAGAGGCCTTGCTCGACGCTGTGGCGAGGGAAGGGGCCGGACTGCAGCTGGCTGCTCCGCGGCCAGGGGATGCTGGGTCTCCCCATTTCTCCCCCTGGGGGGCGGGGAACCTGTGCTCTGGGCCGTGCGGGGGCTGAAGGGGCTCCGAGGGCGGCGGGCGGCCCGAGGCGCGGAGAGAACGCGGACGCCCTCACCTGGGGCCCGGCGGCGCTGGGGGGTGGCGGGGCCATGGCGTCCCTGGGGCCCCCCGGGCCGGGTCGTCTGTTCGGTGCGGTCGCGGAAAGGGTGGGGCGGCGCAGAGCCCGGGAGCTTAATAGCCGGCTGGCGACACGTGGCCTTGGCCCACTAAGATACTCCTGGCCACGCCGGGAGAAGGCACGCGATCATGGCCGCGGGGCCCCAGCGTTGGCCCGCCCCTTCCGGAAGTCACCTTTGACCCCCGTTTCCGGAAGTGGGCTGTAGGCGGTAGGCTGTAGGCTGTAGTCGACGAAGTCTTCTGATTGGCTTCCGATTAAAGGCCTCAAGGGACTCCCTGGCCACTCGTAGGCCGCCGTTGGTAGCAGGTTGGGCCTAGGTGTGAAGGGCAGTGCCCGGGCCGACGGCCGCCACTTCTAAAACCCGCGGGGGCGCTGCGGGGGCGGGGCTGCACCTGCCGCCCCGGGCTTCCTCCCTGCAGACCCGCCGGGCCGCCCCGGGCCCGGGCCACCCGCTGCGGCGGGTCACCGCCGCCCTACCTGGGGGACTTCGCGAGTACCGAACTCTCGCCCGTTTCCTTTATTATGATTCTTAGTGAACGTTTTATGGGGAGCTCTTACACGTATTACAGTCCTTTAGACTAGGCCTAGTTGTGCGATTGTTGCCATCATCATTTACAATCCCTTTCCTTTTTTTCTTAAAAAATCTTTTTTTGTTTTCTTTTTTCTCGAACTCCTTGATATCAGCTCCCTTTTGGTCCCTCCCTCCCCCAACCCTGCTCCCCCCAACCCTTAATAAATGATATATTTTTATTATCGCCCATGTATTTTATGGTAGATGTGTATGTTTTTGTCAGAGGCCCCCGTGGCTCACTGGTTAAACACTCGGTGGCCACCTGAAGTTGGCTTCTCCAACTGGGAGCCCCTGGCTCCTTGGTTAAAACGACCTGGTGAAAAAAACAAAACAAAAAAACCCCAAAACGACCTGGTGACCTGCTTCTCTAGTTATTACACCCTGGAGATCCCTGGGGCGCCTCCAGAATCTTCGTCAGTAAATTCGGTTCTGGCTGGAGTGTTCATGAGCAAAGCGAACAGCCACCTTCCTGATCTCAGGAATCTCTTAATTATGGATCATGAGGCATGATATTTACCAAGCATGTGTATTGAAAAATAAATGGATCCAATCTCACGTGGTACATCCTATAAGGAAACAGATACTATCCTTTTGTCAAGGTCTACCGAAAAAGAATGTTGGGAAATTGGGATTGTGTTTCACCAATGTCATTTATAGTAGAAATAATTAATAGGTATGCCTTTAGATTCAGGAACTTGATATGTATCTCCATTTGTCTATACCTCTTTATTGCAGCAGTGCTCTGCAATTATGTTTATAGGTCTGGAACATAGTTTGTTAAATTTGTCAAAATTATTTATGTATTGGTGGTGTCCTTAAATATATTCTGTTCCTTTTAGCTTTCAATTTGCAATCATTCAGTTATATATTAAATTTGCTGACATCCTATTAAAATAACTTGATCTATATTAGTCATGTCTATATTTGTGTGAGGTTTTTATACCATTGCCTGGTTTTGATACCAGATAAAGCTAACCTAATAAAATTTGCTGGAAGGTGTTCATCCTCATATATTAAAATAATTTCTATAGATTTAGGATTATTAAGTGTTTGGTATAGTGAAGTCATCTTGGTATGATTCAGAGTCTATAACAGGCTAATATTTAGATTCTCTGAATTAATCCTGGTTAGTTGGTATTTTTCAAGGAATTTTAATATTTTCTGTAATCTTTATAGTGTTAAAATTCATATATTAACCTTTTAATGTTTCTTTTCTTTTAAAAAAAATCATTTTATTGGGGGCTTGTACAACTCTCATCACCATCCATCCATCCATTGTGTCAACACATTTGTACATTTGTTGCCATCATCCTTCTCAAAACATTTGCTCTCTACTTGAGCCCTTGGTATCAGCTCATTTTCCCCTCCCTCCCCGCTCCCCCCTCCTTTAATGTTTCTAACACACCTAGTACTTTACCATCTTTCACTCACATATTCCTGTGTCACTTCCCCCCCACCCCCACCCCCATATGTCACTTCTTGAAACACCTTCTTTCAAACACCTGTAATAACTTCTTTGGCCACCGTGGTGATTATATACTCTTGGTGGTAATGACTGTGTGCCAGCCAGTCATTCCCAATCATGGCAATCCTATATGACAGAGTAGAACTTCCCCCATAGGGTTGCCTCAGTTGAAATATTTTCTTTAGCAGATTTATCTACTCTGCCTCCCACCCCTGCCACTGTACAATCACTGGTTGGCTCAAGCATCCAATCAGGGCTCATTTATCTGCTCTTAAATCCCCCCATATTTGTCCTGCTATAATGCAACAGAGCTTCCACTAATCACTGTTGACTCACTGGAAAGATATCTGTCTTTCCGACTGAACTCAGCATGATGGGTCTACTTATCACTCACGAGAGGCAAGTAATCTTTGTCAAGGGAAAGTGGTGAGACACTGAGTATACCATCACGTTGTTTATAGACAGGAGGACTGTGGGTGGAGGAAATAATATGGGAAGTGTGGGTGATTTGTTTGGAGGGGGTGGTGGTAACTGAGGGATTGATTATATACAGACTAATACTGGATCTATGGACTTGATCTGTACTGGGCTGGGATGTTTTCTCAATATTCAATTGCTCTTGTATATAAAGTTCTTTTAAAAAAAA